TATTCCAATTAACACAAGGCATTATAGTTCCTCTTCTCCTGGCAATGCCACTCTTCATACCAACATCATATTCTGTGGTCCCGCAGTAGACTTGGCGGGGGGTAGGAGAAAGGCAAAGGAGATCCCAAGTGTCAGGTAAGGAGCATTTCCAAAAAACACAGGAAGTTCTTAACCATTTCTCAGGAAGCATCAGCTACTTATTTGTGAACTGGTTCTCTCTAAAGCAGTCTGGTTACACAATTTCTAAGCTGTGCAGGAAGAGATCAGTTTCCATAGCAATTCCAGCCACTTCCTGCCCAGATGCGGCACTCCATGTTCCTGGACACAAAAATATGTCTGCTGTGGAAGAGAGGCCTAGGTGGCAATGGCAAGCTGAAGAAGATCAGACAAACAGAAATTCCCTCTTTTGTGGCCGCATTTAATCCAAAGTGCAAATTCAGGTTTGTGATACGTAGGGAGGAAAGAAAAATAACAAAAATAACAGACCTAAAGACCCAGCTATCTACCTTGCATGATAGGCTCTATGAGTCAGCAAAATAAAAGCTTTTGGGAAGAAGGAAGAATTTTTCATCTCTCTTCTGATGGAGACTTTCACGTGATGTAGCACAAGCCACTAGGAACTCTGCCATACAAAGGCTCTGAGCACCATGCAGCATTTGTCCCATTTCAGCTACCAAGGCAGGAGAAAGGGAAGAGGCAATTGTGTGACGTTCTCAGAGAGGGGGGAAAAAAATCATCTCACTTCTCAAGAACACACATCAGCATTTTGCTTGTTTGCAGCACTTTAAAGCCACAATACTTTCTTCACCTGCCTTGGAGAGAAGGTAGCTCTGGAAAAGCCCCCTTTTACCCTGCCCTTGCCAAGACCAGTGAGGAAGACTGCAGAGTGACCCACATGCATCAGCCCTGTGAGGCTCCAGGCAGGTCTGAGCCCACAGCAGGATAACCCACAATCCTGTAGTACCTACACAGCTGTTCTTGTTGAAATCATTCAAGGAATAGATGCACAAAGAAGTCCCACGGTAAATACAATTATGTTCAAAGGTAAAAATGAGCAAGAAAACATAAGATATAAACAAAATAAACTAGAGGCAGAAATAAAGCATCATCATGCTAGACTGGCTCTGAGAAAGCATGAAGACAATCCCTCTCCTCTTATCTGTATCTTCCTCCCTTTTCCGCACTGCTTCCTCATAATAAGTTTCTAATCCAACTCTCCCAGAAAGACAATGAAATGTAGATAGTTGACTTAAGCATACTTAGAAATTGTTCTCTGCATCTGCCTTCCATGCCGTGGTTGCCTGTTTTCACAAAACAGTTGTTTCGTAGACTGCAGCAGAAGATCAGTTTAGAGACTGGGTTCTCTACAGCCTATCTGCCAAAAAAAAAAAAAGGGGGGGAATGACCTTCCTACAGTCCTTTTGATGGTACAAAACAGCATCAACCCAACAGGTTTCTGTTTTGCTCCAAAGAATAAGCCAGTAGACTAAATACTCTGGGGGCCTTGAGTGCCTTACCCCTCACAGTGGCTTTAGAGAACAGCGCTGTTGGTCCCTGGAAAAAGCCAAACAATGTATCGCATCCCCTCATTGCCTTGGTGGTACTACCATTTCCAAAGCAAACACAGCCTTTCACCTTATTTGCCATAATATACCAGATAATGGTTTCCTGAAGTTTTTTGGACAAGAGAAAAAAATTAGCATCAACATAGCCTCCTTTTTTATGGTCAACTTTCTTAAAGTACAAGTATCCAGTTAAAGTGCTTATTCTATCACCTGAAAATGCCTCTCACCCCTCCCAGTGCCTGTACTGTATTCCACAGCTCAAGTCCCTGCCATGATCACTTTCCCCATGTTTTGTGAACACAAATCTGTAGCACACGAAGTGAACCTACAAGAACAGCATAAACTACGTGGAACTCAATATGCAAATAAATATAGAAGTGTTCAGATTTTTTTTATTTTTGTTCTAATAATATATACCTTCATTTCTAAAAGCATCAGTGATGCTACTGGAGTTTTTCAGAAGCCCGAACTACAGACCAAGTTTCTATGCACAAGACTGGGGCCAAAATGTGACAGCGTAAATGCCTAATAGTGACTCAATCAGATCATTACACTGGCTCTTCCATAAAAAGACAGTTACTCATGCTCAAAGTTGTTGGACACAGCTTTCCTTCCCTTCTCCCTTCCCCTCACAGCTCATATAGACACTCGTTTTTGTCTGATTAGATGAACATTTACCTCCTGACAGGCAAGAGCTGGCAATACTAAAACCATTCTTCCCTCCATCCCTGTTTAACCAGAGATAGTTGAGAGGAAGTGATTGCAGGGAAGTGAAGCCTCGTTTCCTCAGCTCCTGATGCCATAGGCAATCAATTTGAAGCAAAAGTTCCATCTTGAAAATGTCAAACAGAATGCAAAAAGATAAAATAAAAAATTATAAAGTCAGCTCCAACCATTCCTCCAGGTCCAGCTACTCTCCTGTGTTCTTTTAGCATAGCTGACAGCACAGCTAGAAGAATATCTGCTTTCTGCACTGACTGGTGCCGTGAGGTCCTCAGCTTCAAATTAATTGCCCCTCACCCCCTCCTTCAATTCAAGGAAAACTGCTGGAGCATCAATCTTGCCTGCCAGTCTGAAAAAAGCAGTCTGCTGGGCACAGCTGTAGCCCTCTCTTCTGATCCCCAACCCAGTAAGGAGGCAAAGCAACAAATTTGCTTCGCAGGCACCACTATTTGCTGCCCATGCACCAGAGGAGGAAAACAACCACTACTGAAATACAAATATGGCAAAGGACAGCAGTGGCTTCAGCCTGGAAGAGGCGTTTTTCTTCAATAGGGTGAGCAGACACCCTTGTTTCACCTTTCCAGTTCCTCTGAAATTCTCCAGGATGCCATTTTGCCACAGTGTTTCATCAGGAAATACTTTCTTGCCATCCCATACTACAGATCCAAGAAATTACCCATGGCAAGAGCAGGAAGAACAATGGGCCTTGGCCCTGCTCCTTTCGTTGCTTGTCACAACACTCAAAGGGAAATTCTAAACAGGAAATTGTTCAGAGGAAAATAATGGCCAGGTTGACTTGGAAAAACACTATTCTACCTTGGGATGAGCAGTGATAAGCTAAAATAGTTGTGCCCTGGATGAAGCTAGTCCAGAGGTACAGAACCTGGTCAGCTGTTAAGGTAGGGACTAAAATTACAGGGCTTTGTGAAGAGACTTAGAGTCTTACCCCACTTTATGTCTACTCCAGCACAAAGGGAGAACATCCTCCTCAACCAAAACACCATTTGAAAAGATTGGTATTGCCCTTGTCTTTTAAAACAGATGTTTTAGAGAAGAACAGCAAGGTCACTGTTCCTACACAGGAAATAGTCATATAGGTTCAGTTCATTCTTAAATGCAGTGACCTCCAGATCCTCCCCAGTGGCTAACCCCATATATCAAGCACTCACCATTGCACCTAACTGCCCTGGAGAAGAGAGCACTTCAAAGTACTTCTCTCCTTCCCTGTCTTTAGATAGAACTGAAGTTTGAATCTACCTACGCTTATCTGACTCTTGAACTAGTAAGAAAGTTCGGGTCAGAAATATGCATGCACACCCACAGTCGGTGTACCCTCCACAGGGAGGGAACAAGCAGCCTCACCCTGAGACCAAATCAGATATGTAAATCTGTGAGCAGTATGTCTAGACTGCCACTTTGGAGACTGATGAATGCCCTACTGAAGGCTCCTGTTAGCTGCCAACACACCCAGCTCAGGAACTTGCTGATCCCACTAAGGGATACACATGCCAAGCATCTTACATGGCCAGGCATATTAGTAATGATGCGGGGGGGAAAGAATACAAACAGTTTCAGAATAACCCTGTAATTGAGCCTTTGCTGAGATAAAGATGAACTTCAGGACAATAATTCCTACACTAAATAGTGAGATTGCCACATAGGTTGTTGGGCCTACAAGCACCAACAAGTCTCAAACCAGGCCTGACCTTACCAATGCAGAAAATTGACTATGTCATTACACCTTCTCCTCCCCAGAGCTTAAAAGGACCTTCCCAAAGCAACAGCCCCATAAGGCCGGAATGAAACAAGAGACTGAAAGTCCTGTGAACACCAGGGGTCTTACACATTTCTCAGATTGACACAGTCTGGACAGTAGCTGCTCACTACCACCTTTCAAGGTTTTCAATTAGAACCAGCATCCCTCAGCCGCTGCCATCTTCAAGCTGTTAACTGCTTCCATTGAGACAGAGGAGCTGAGGACATTCATCAGTTCCCATGACTACATAGTAACAAGAGCAAGTTTCAGTGGCATCCTTGCTTGTGAAATCCTACCTCTTCCATTTTATCAGTGAAAACCCTTTTCCATCTCTAAGATGGGAAGAAAAGCTTTATGGCCAGCCAATACATCCCAAGGCAATTCCATCCCTATCAGATCTTGTTGCTTCAGCAAATAGTACAAGTTCGTGACCACTGCCTACAATTATCACTGAGGGCTAAGCTCCTTTCCTGTGCCTTAACAGGTGCAGCATTTCTCTTTCTAGGTCTTCAGAGAGTGATGCCACACTCACCCAGGAGCTGCTGGCAGCAAGACATATTTGACAATAAAAGCGAGCAATGAATTCTCCTGGGAGCAGGAAACTCCACAGCAGTATGAACTGCATAAGAATACGCTCATGTACAGAGCATTCTATTGAATTAAAAAATAGGGCATTGATTTTGTCATTCATTTTTTGTATTTAACTCAATATTAATCTCTGCATACAAATGCCTCTTCCCCACTGCCACATTCTCATGCCTCAGCAGAATTTCTACTCAGCAGCAGAAACAGAGATGTTGGTCCCAAGAACAAATCAATCAGGCTGCTACAAAGATAAACTGTGAGAAGAGGACTCTGAGCAGGTTGTCAGTCAAAGCCTCCATTCTCATTTACCAGCAAGTACCTCCCTTACTCTGCACACAAGGAGAACGGAGAAGAAAGCCAGCAACACTTACGCAAGGCATGCCACTCATCCTGGCGGATTGTCTTGGTGATGTTGTAGGTAAGATTCTTGGGAATAGTTGCTGAGGAGTAGTGGTACTTGATGTACGTGCACCGCTCAATTGCTCCTGGAAAGGGCAAAATGCAGAGGAGAAAGTGCCGTTAAATGAGTGCAACATGTTCTCCCAGCTGTAGACCAGATGGGACTGACAACAAATACAAAGGTTAGGAGCAAAGCAGTCCCTACCATCAGTCCACTGTGACAACCAATGCTGTCTTTAGCCCATGACAAGCACAAGCTACCTGTAAGGTAAGCTCACATCCAAACTTGTGATACACCAAAGCCCCTGCAGTAGCTGCCAGAGCATCTGCTTTCGCCAGATATATATGTGGCAAATCACTCCTCCTTTCATTTCTTTTCTGAACCATGAGCTAGTAGCAGGCATACCAGCATCTACTCTGTAGAAACTGTAAATTCATGTCTTAGCTTATCATGCAGTATAATGTGCCTCAATACCCATCGTCCAGGAGAGATCAAAGATGTTTATTTTGTGTCTTTCCTTCACTAATATAAAAAGCACAGGGAAAATATATACAGATAGTGAGCAATTTTCCTGACTCCCTTCCAACTCACAGCCAAGAAGCAAGACAAGCAGAAGGATACATGATAGGCTATAGTGTGTCTCTTGAAGGTACCCAGACACTTTCATAGCAGGCTCAGAAACAGAATTTATTGGCATCCTTGAATAATGAGCCTCAGATGGCAACATGAATGTCTGAAATGGGCAATTTTTTCCCCTCTGTAGTCACGATTTCATCTATGTTCCATGGAAAAAAGCACCATGTGCTGTTTCTGTTTATCTTCCGGTCACATTGTTACACTCTCCTTTTACAGCCACTTTCCTTCCTCTACAATAATCACACCTCCAGGCCCTGATCTCCTGGCATTTCTCTGCGCAGTTAGTGTCCTTAGAGGAATGGGTCTGGCATAGCCTGGTGCTTTCCATAAATTATATATAGCCTAACCAAATTTTGCATCTGAGCAGAAGCCTGTGATAGTTCAACCAATCTTGCACTGATGAAAAACAGTAGTTTCTTACATCCCTTTTGCCAGCATCCTCAACTAACACTGGTTTTATTAGATCTTCTTGCTAAGGAGTCAGATTCAAAGCTCCTGAAAATCTTTTTTTCCATTATTACAGTATTTTGGATCAGACCTGTCATAACTAAATAGGTATCCTTAATGTGGTTGGCCCACACTGTTTGCTACTAGCTACCACTGGTCAGAGAACCAGCTATGCTGGAAATGCTTTTATTAAAAATACATTAAGACAAGTGCTCAATAGAATAAATTAAATGAAGCAATGAATTATATAAATAAGAAAGTGTTACACACCAAGAGGCAGGTAGAGAACACTTACTGTCAGCCTGAACTGAAAAGGCAGAGCCATTAGCCTTATATAGGCAGCTCCAAGGGGTTAAATATGCTTTTATGCCACTAGAAATACAGGTTTCTACCTCAGGTTGTAAAAACTTTACTTGGCATGAACTTAGATCATACACCATGAATTCACAACATAAGAAAACCCATGAAACAAAATTAGTTACATCGCTGTCTACCAGCATCTTCCAAAGTTAGTGCAATATAAACATTTGAGGTCCTCATTGTTTGCTCCTCTTCAGCATTCTTCACATTCTGCCTTTGACAGCAATTAGACTAGACAAAGCCAAATATTATAGGGGAAAAAGGCAAAATATTTACATATGTATCCGCCTGCCCTGACAGCGTGATGGGCTTCTGTGTGAGTCTGCACCATCTGGGCACCAAATGTACGCCCAGAATTAAAGTTTCAAACCAAGAATAGATTTTAAAAGAGACAGCTAGTGTGCAGAGAGTTTTAAAAAAGCTCCAAATCATAACCTTACCTTCTTATAGGTTTTCCTATCCCCTTTTGTTCAGCTGCTTTCATGGATCAGAAGCATTGCCAAGAAAGTGGAAAAAGCTTATTTGTCACAAAATAATCTTTAAGTTATCAGATACCTGCCCAGAGAAGAGATTTATATGGAATAGCAGACAAGGACACAGAGCCAAGATTCAAAATAAAAGCATACAGAAGGAAGGAAGAAAAAAATCCTGTTCCATTTGCTATAATTTCTTAAAGTAATCAGCAGAAAGCACCTCTTCTGAAATCAAAGCAGCTAATTTCTAGCAAGGTCCATCAGACTTCTTATTCTTACTGCAAACACTGTTAGTTGTAATGCAGTGAGCTGTTCAGTATCTTATATCGCCAAAACCTAAAGCAGAAAAAGATTATGGTCTGAATTCAGGTCATCACTTCGCAATATATATAATTTGGGGCTTATGCTTACTTTCCCATAGCTTTAATGAGACTTGGGTACATGTTTAAACACTGTCTAGAACCAAGAGTACAACTATAGTGGCAATGGTTTAATGGTAGCCACGATGATCTCCTTGCCAACCACTCAACATATTTCAACACTGTTCCCACTTCTAAATAACATGCTGTTAGCCAATAACTATGACTACAACAGGTTGTAGATAAAGTGCTCTTCAGTGTACATGGTGAGATAAGTTCTCCTTTTTCCCCTACTCGTCTCTGAAATATCAGGTCTGGCCACTACGTGCACTCAACAGGTCTGAGCAGAGTACAGAAAATTCATTTGTACCTGGGAATTGTACCCACTACTTGTCTTACATGGGGAAACAGACCCCCAAGTCAGACAGATGAGGATGCTGCTCCTGCATTTTCATGCTTCTGAGTTATTAAACTAGCCATTCACTGCTAGAATGGGTAAGCCTAATTAATTTTTTGTTACAGGGCTCAAGATACTTAGGCCTAATCCAAGTTGCTAGGCTCAATAAAGGGATAAATGAGTGAGTTGTAATAGTCTATGATATACTATTGGTCAGCCCACATGAGCTAATGGACCCTTTTGGCTCTAGGCTGTTAAACTCTCCTTTGAATTCCGAGTTTAATAGGCTCAGGAGAATCTAGTTCAGAGTGTTTCAGAGCTGTCTTCTATTAGCTTCCAGCACTTCAATTACTTCAGACTCTGGAACAGCAGCAACAGCCAGAGAGAGCATGTGGCCATCTTCATCCACACCGCCACTGCTGATAGGAGAGGCAGGCAGGATCGTACTGGGAACCTCAAGATTTTCATGGCCCAAACTGGCCAGGTTTGCGATTGCTTGGCATTTAAACATGAGCCATTTATCTAGACCTGTTCTCACAGGAGTGAGTGACCCTGCTGAATTAATGCAACTGCAACAGCATATATCTGGCTAGAGGTGAGAATTAGCATTTGAAACTTAGACAATCAGAAAAAGGTTTTCATTTGCCTAGACCTGCCAATCAAAATTAGGAAAAGGATGAGTTTATTGCAGTGACAATTTCAGACTTCGTGATGTGTCCCTACTTGTCCCATACAGAAGAGAACTACGTTCAAGAGCCCCAAACATCCCGTTCCTGGAGGCCCCTGGGAGAGCAGAGGCAGTAACTGCAGCAAGGATCAGAACTACTACTCTTCTGGAAAGTCCTCTCAGAAAAACCCCAAGAAATTCTTACCTTCAGATGAAGGAATACCTATGCTCACTCCAGTCTCTGAGGTGGGAAGGGAAGCAAGGGTAAGAAAAAAAACCACCAGAGTTTCCCTTCCATATCCTCAATTGGGTAACTGCAACTTATGGAGCATCTCCAGACTTCAGCACTAACTTAAAAAGACCAAATGCAAGTGCAGCTGAGCTCTGTACTTTGCTCAAATAACTGGGAGGAATATTTATAGCGCAAACCAGTGAGTGGGCTTTTTCACCTACGCAGCTCCCATAGCAAGTGTTATAGCTGGCCACAAGAAACATGAAACAACTACAAAGCTGCTCCACTGACAGATGCATGTTCCTCTGATCAAAGGGAAATGTTTGCTGAAAATCTTAAAGAAAAGTGGCTGACATCTTCACGTAGTGCTAGGAAAGGGATCATCAGGAAGATGCAACTAGAACCATACAGAGCAAAACTGCCTTACCATCCTCTCGTAAGCACAGACGCTCAGAGGAGATTCAGTAGCTGTAACTCTGTGGTTGGCAACCCCCTGTTCCAGCAAAGTTCAGATGCCAAGTAAAATTAAGAGAAGGAAACTAGCGATAGCTTCATCCATAGCAGCTAAATATTCACAGCATCAAACATGCCACTCTTCTTACTGAGACACCTACCTGAACAGTTCCCCTCCCATATCTGTTAAGCATTGCTCCACATTACCTCATTATTACACAATATTTCCTCTTCTCTCCTTTACAAAGAAAATCCTTAAGCTGTGCTATAGCAGGAATATCACCTGAAAACATTGTGCAATTCTTTTCTATTCAATTTTCAAAACCATCCCAATATCCTAACATTGGTTCAGCTACTAGTGAAGCTCAGCTCCCACTGCATTAGTAGGGCTGTAAACATTACGCCGGTAGAGGCCTCTAATTGTTTGATAAGGCATGGGTGACTGAACCATTCTCCCACTCTAGGATGAACAGGGTTGAGATCAATTAAAAGGAAGGTCATACTGCTGGTATCCACACTGTATTTGTCTGGTGGGAAAACAGACAACATTTTTCAGAACTTTTGGGCCAGTGTCTGTCTTCATCACCAAGCCCCCCATCCCCCTTTAAATATCACATTTCAACACTTTCAAATTGCTCCAAGAAACAGTCTTTACGTTTGGCTAATTTAAGAAATAGAATGAAAATTCAAAATGCCACCAGGGTATTGGTCACATCAGTCCTAAAATTTGGATCTCAGAAGTGCCCAGAGGCATTCGCCCTGTGAGGTCAGCTTGACTTTTGCAAAGGTGGTTGTCAAGTTTCAGGAATTTACACTGTCACTGTGATCATATAGTTATTCTTCCGCATAATACAGACCAACTCATCTGACTGCTGACAACAGAAAGTAGGCCTTCAGATGGTCTTTCATGAAACTGGTAATCTGTGAGAGCAGTTATGTAAGAGTTAGTAATACCACTTCAGATCTGGCCCAAGATGGCACACAGAAGACTTACAGGGGTTATCCTACTATATTCCCCCCCTCTGCCAATGCGGGTTTCAAGACTTCACTTTGTTTTCCCC